ACATTTTCACCAAAGCAACAGAAAGCAGAAAGCAGCAGAAGGAAACAAATGCAGTACCCACCCTTCCCCTCAAAGTCACAGGTAGCCCAAAAGTCTTTGAAGACTTGTGTGTGTTTTTTGTTAAAAAATCATGCAAAATGCTGCATTCAATCCCATTGTATGTGTAAATGTTTTAATAAAAAAATAATTTCTTCCAAAATCTTTAAGTAGAAAATAAATATTCCAGAAATAGAGACCATAATTGTTCTCTGGCTTTGTGTACCCTTGGCACACCAGCAAGTCACCCAGGAGGGACTTGTTCCTACTCCATTTACATTCCAGTCATTTCATTTTCTATTCTTGTTTAGATTCCAGAATTTCTTCTCTATTAGAATACTAATGACAACAATAACATTAACACAATAAGCAATTGTTAGTCTGTATTGCACATTAACTGTGTTGAAGCACTGTGCATCTATTAACTCCAGGAGGTGGGCACAATTATCACCCCCATAATATGGATGAGTAAATTGAGGCAGAAAATTAGGAGACATGCTCAAGGTCATGCAGGTAGTAACTAGTTGAATCAGGATTACAATTCAGGCAGGCTGACACCCAAGGTTTCTTTGCCTATATATATTAATTTACTCTGAAGTTCACTTAAAATATTATAATTTGCTCACACTGCTCCTTTGTACTCAAAATCCCTGGAACATAGAAAATGGGTGAATTTTATTGTATATAAATTATACCTCAAGACAGTTGAATTAAAAAAAAGTATAATTTGTTAAGACTTTAAAGTCTTGCTTGTTCAGTGAATTGAGTAGCTTTAAGAATATGGATGTGTCCATGGGAGCATAACCTACAAGAAACCAATCAGCAGCAAACCTTATGAAAGAACACCTAGTATTTTGACTACTTTATGGGAGCTGATGGGAGAATGTGGGGTGTTCTTACAGGTCACAGGCTGTGGAGTGGCTGGCAAATATGGTTTCAAAACAAGAGAGGAGCTGAGAAGAATTGTTTCTGGACTCCGTTTTGTAAGAAATTGAAAAATTAAACCTTGTAAAGACAGTCTTAGGCCCATGGCTATGGGACAGACTGTGCTACAATATATTCTGATGGGTAGTAATAAAGATGTTAGCCTTCACTAGAAACATACATGAACTATACAAATGGGTTTAGTATAGGCCTAGCCAGTTTGGCTCAGTGGATAGAGTGTCAACCTGTGGACTGAAGGGTCCCAGGTTCAATTCTGGTCAAGGGCACATGCCCAGGTTACAGGCTTGATCCCTAGGAGGGGCCTTGCAGGGGGCAGCTGATCAAAGATTCACTCTCATCATTGATGTTTCTCTCTCTCTCTCCCTCTCCCTTCCTCTCTGAAATCAATTAAAAATATATTAAAAAACAAAACAAATGGGTCTAGTGTAGTGTTATAGAGCCTGAGAGTTCAGGGTTTTAGGGCCTGGTACAAGGACCATCTGGTTAGCCAGCATTCCTCATGGCAGGCTCAGTAAGCTTAGTCCTAGAGTCTAGGGACCTAGACAATAGGTTTTCTGATGCTGTGCAGATCTTTGTGTCCTGCACTGAATGACTTATGCATTTCTTAAAACCAATAATCTTTATCATAGACACAGAAAAGTACATTGATCAATATAAGATCATTGTGCTCTTGAAAAATAAACAATCTAGCAAAGGAAGCGTATGGCATAAGGAGCACTCAAAAATGTGTCCTTTTCTTTCATTCATTAGCTCTGCAAATATTTGACACCCCCTATATACTATATGGAGGGTTGTGTGCTATAAAAAGGGCAGTATTATAAAGGGTGTTACCTCATCCTTCAAATGAGTAGAGTATCAACTATAGCATCCCAAGATTGACTTTTTAAAAAATACATTTTTATTGATTTCAGAGAGGAAGGGAGAGGGAGAGATAGAAACATCAATGATGAGAAAATCATCGATTGGCTGCCTCCTGCACACCCCACACTAGGGATTGAGCCCGCCACCAGGGCATGTGCCCTGACCAGGAATTGAACCATGACCTCCTTGTTCTGGGTTGATGCTCAACCCCTGAACCATGCTGGCCGGGCAGGATTGACTTTTCCTGTCTACTTTGCCACCAGAGTGATCTTCTTTCTAGAGAGATTTGATGGTATTGCTCTCATCCTTACAATCTTTAATGACTCTCTATCTCATCATGAGACACCTAATATCTCAGGTAGGAGATATTGACTGGTAGTGCTTAACCTCAATTTGACAATTAGACATGCCTCCCTCCCCAATCTGTACTTTGAAATATGAGTAAGTTCTCAACATTCAACATTTCAATTTTTCATATAAGCCGAATTTCTAGCGTCTCTGTAGAAATTGAAGAACGGACATTCCGCATCATTGGCATTGACTATCCCATTTTGGCAGAGAATATATTCTCCAGGTTGCCACAGCTCCCACCACTGCTCATGGTCTCAACTTGGTCTGCTTTGCTCCCTTAGATCCATGCTTGGCCCAAGGTATACATAATCGTTTGCAATCCTTCATGGATCGGATCATGTCTAAACTCAAGAACATGTCCACAAGGCCCTTCACAATTTGGGACTGCTTGGTTTCATCCTTCACAAAGACTCCATGTTCTAGCCACCCTGAATTCCTAAACAAGCTTTGTCCTCCTTAGTGCCTTTTCTTGTGCTGGTCTCTCTGCTTGGCATATCCTTCCTCCATCTTCCATTTCTGCCTAGAGGAGTCTCACTTATTCTCAAGACTTAGTTCAATCCTCTATGGAACTTTCCGGAATCCTGCCAGAGGGTTATTTGCTTCTTCCTAAGTGTTCTCATAGTACTTTGTGCCTCTATTAGCATTTCAATGGCTTTTTCTGTATGTCCAATTGGAAAATGTGTTTCTAGAAGAGAACTCCTAATCATCTCCATATCACCCTTACGAGAGTGCCTACATCTAGTAGATACACATGAATATTTATTGAATGAACAAAAAGATGGATAAATGAATGAATGAATGAATGAATGAATACTTCCAGGAGAAACTTTTTGTCACAAGGTTTTCAGGTTTACAATAAGAAAAGTAACTACTCAAGACCAAATCTCAAATTTTGATGATGATCATGACATCTTCAGATAACAGTTCTTAAAAGTTCCTGTTCATTGTACCCTTTCCAGAAAGTAAGTCTAGAGAAAATAAAAAATATATACAGTATTAGTAAATATATAGTGACCTAAAGTTGATAAGAGCATCACACTGTGGGAGTGATCTGGGTAGTGCTGCAGAGAGAGAATAGATGGTGAACAGAAGTCACAACATATCTCCCTATAAGGCTAGTGGTCTCTCTGGCAATGTCTACCTGGAAGAATGGCACATTTGGGTCACAAAGTGGCAGGAAATGATCATGTAGCTGCAGACTATCCTGTGGAAAAGGGTCAGCATGGTAGTCCTGAGAGATGTGCACCATAGCTCTCTCTGTTTGGGCACAAGGGAGGCTGCCCTATCTGGCCTCATTGTAATGATTCCATGGAGCCAATGCAACTAGTCCTTGTCAATAGTTGTGAGTCCAAATAACACGGGTCACTTCTGGCCATAGCATTTAAATGTCAGCATGAGCCTCTTCAGAGTGATCTTTATTGTCATAGCCACATGAAACATTCAAGATGGCAACTGTCCCATCAGCCTGGGACCCCGAATAAGGAGATGCGGAACAGATCAGCTGATGTGCAATGGACTCATAGCATGACCAAGAAAACAGCTTTGGCTGCTATAGGCCACTAGAACTTGGAATTGTTTGTTACTCTGGCATAATATAGCCTGTCCTGATTAATAAAATAGATTTGCTCTGTTTTCCTGCAAATGACAGAAAAAGACTAATGGTTGTATGTTTTAGGAAGACCAATTCTGTGCAATTTAAGAAAATGTAATATTGAAGTGCGCAAAGATGAAATAAATTGCTTAGGATTTTATGCTTTAATTCACACAATATACATTGAACTCTACAGTGTGTTAAATATTCTCTACCTAAAACCTCTGCCTTTATGGAGGTAAGTGGTGAGTTCCTTTTCACCTAAGATATTTGCATTGATGGCCCTTAAAGTTTTGACTGGACAAATTAATTTAAAAAATACCTTCCAATCCAGAGTTTCAGGATGTCTATGTCCTCTGGTCTAAAAAAGAAAAAAAAATCTATTTTCTCAAGCATTCCTTTGATTCAAACCATTTATTGATTTATTGAGTTGTCTTTTCACATTTTAATGTCATTTTCCCAGCAAATAAGTTCCTTGAAGGCCAATACTGTTTTATTTCTCCTTTGCATCTTTCTCATACTATTTAGTAGGCAATATTTTATTGTCTATTCTCTGAGGAATATAATCAGCTTTTGACACTAGTTATTATTATTTGATAGGTTTCAGATTTACTTGTCTTTCAACTATTTGTTAGATTTGGACTTATTAAAAAAAAAGTCTAGGAATACAAATGTATTACCTTAATAACTTTCAGGAAAAAATGCCTTCTTTTTCTGAAAAAAAGAAAAAAGCCTTAGCTCAGTACTATTGAATTTGTGGCCAATTACAATATTTCATTAACATCTTAATTCAGTAAGCATTTAATGTATTCCTACTATGTGCCAGGGGGCAAGGTTTATTCAAGATTATCAAGATAATGTTACTTAATACCCTTTACCCATCATTACATAATTCTATATTTTAATAGAGTCTATGATCTCTCTGTACAAAGCTATTTGGAGGGAAGCAAATGCAAAAGGTTGGGGCAAAATATTCCCTTGGTTTAATTCAGGGGAGCACCTTGAATTCTGAGGGCTTAATTGATAACTTGGGGGAATAGACCAGTATGTAAGTGTGTGCAAGGGAGAAAAAAAAACCTTTTACTTTTTTGGATTTCAGTTTCTGTTAAGGTTCATTTCAGGCTTTTAGAATTGGAGAATCAGCTGCCTGCTACAAGAAATTGCTAATAAGCAGTAATTAAAGACTGAGGATTTATTTATTCTTTCCATTCCAAACCTGATGTCATTCCCAGATGGAAATATTGGTACTGGTTAGGCAATTCAGCATTTTCGGAAACTAAGGCAGGCTTGGGTGTCTCCTGGGCCCTGCAGGGGAAGAAAGTGGTCCAGGAAAGAAAACTTGTGTTTTATTTTGTTTTTTCGCATCACAATCACTTACACATTTTTTGCCTTGCTGTACAGAACCAGGAACTGCGGTGGGCACCTGTGTCTTAAAAAAATGAGGGCTATTTCTCTAAAATAAACTTTTCATATTCTTATATCTTTGGAATTGTTGTCCCCGCCTAAAATGACAATCAGCTGGAAAAAAGACGGAAACATTCCAGTGAATTCAATACCCATTGATAGAAAAGAACTGGCAGATGAGAAAGCAGCATGAATACATGGGCGACTCTCCTTTATTTAGAAAACCCACACCAAAATACAGCACAGTTGACGTATTTGTTACCAGGGCTTGAAAGTAGAATCCGCCACTGTGTAAAAGATAAAATAAGACTGCACGGATGTCAGGATTTTCCCAGTGTGCTTTATTCATAGACATTTGACAGGGAGGACCTAACAGAGCTTTTAGGAAAAAGCTGAATTTCTCAGCCCACAGTCACTTTCCAGGAACTTCACTGTAAACTGTGTTCCAGGCTAGCGGGATGGAGATCTTAGCAATCTCCCTCCTGCTACCATAGTTTCCTTCTCTGTAAATACAATTATTTATGGGGGTTTAATGAGAGAGCAAGCCTTGTGTGAAAGGAACTCAAGAAAGTACAGCTTCTAAAAATACACCGAGGCGGCTCTGCAATTCTTATTGTTACAAACTGAGGTTTTGCAGTTCAAGCCCTGAACCTAACAACTACACACACACACACACACACACACACACGAAGAGAAAAAGTAAAGACTATATTGTTGTTGTTTTTTTCCCTTTCTGCAATCCCCTTACACTTGGAGTAAACAGTAGTAATTTTCTGTTGTCATACTCAATGCAAATTTTCCAAAGGCGACACAACACAAAAACAAAAGACCTGTTAGCTTC